CTGGAGAATCCATTCCAGTATTTACTAATGACTCATTCATGATGGGAGGATTTACAGATACTCATATTACTCCCAATCATGTGACTAGATTTAATTATTCTGGCTACAGTGCCCAATTACCCTTGTGTTGGTCACACGATAAACATGCTGGCTGTCTGAAAGTATCATTCGAGGAAAAGACAGTGATTGGTAGACCTAGACTGACAAATAATTCTATTTATGGGGACTTAAGACCTTATACTAGATCAGTGATTAAGATGGGACTTTCCCATAACAAGCCAGTCATTTCTGCAAAACCTCCGCGGATACACCACTGTCCAAATAGTTCTACAATTGAGATTGGCACCTTTCCTAGATGGATGGATTGTGTAAATACCTTTCCTGTACAACATAAGGTGTCTAAAGATAGTGGGTATATTTTAGACTGGTCTCCAAAAATTGATAAGAGACAATTATGAAGAAATTCTGCTATGACACCTGCAGGATTTGTTAGTAATATTTTAACTTATAGTGAAGGTGGTGTTCAAAAGGATGTTTGGCGTTTAATTGCTGCCTCAGAATTCTTACATTTCACAGACAAACCTTTACCAAAATTTATTGGCAAGAACTGTAAAGAGGGATCTTGCTATGGCTTACGAGCCTGTGTCCAATCTCCTTATGTTTTAATTATTGGAAATGTAAAAGTTAAATGGATAGATGACAGATATATTGTTACTTGTAATAAATGTAACCTAACCAATTGTATTACTAGGTATAATGGAGGAAAAGGAGTGCTGATACTACATCAGCCCTCTTTCGTTTTATTGCCTGCTAATATTTCAGAGCCATGGTATGCTGATACTGGTTTACAAGTCTTGCAGCAAATTCATGCCCAGTTGGCAAGACCTAAACGTGCTATTGGAGTTATAATTGTTGGTGTTTTGGCGCTAGTCTCCTTTATTGCCTCAACTGTCTCTGTGTCTCTGACATTGTCTCAGAATATTCAGCATGCAAAATTTCTTAATAATTTAGCTCAAAATACTTCCAAGGCTCTGCGTAATCAAGTAAATATTGATGAAAGGATTGAGACTAAATTAAACGCCTTAGAGGCGACTGTTATAGACATAGGTAATGAACTTTCAGCCTTAAAATTTAAAGAAAGGCTTAAATGCCATGCTAATTATAAGTATGTGTGTGTTACAGCTGCCAAGTACAATGCTTCTCTCTGGGATTGGGAGAAGGTTAAAAACCATTTGTTAGGTATTTGGCAAAATAGTAATAATAGCTTGGATATTCTGGAACTTCATCACCATATCCAAGACATTCAAAATAATAGAGCTGATTTTTCAGATCCTTCTTCTTTGGCTAACCAAATATTGAAGGAGTTGAATGGATTCAACCCTGGAAACATTCTTAAACACTCAGCCTGGTACATTATTGGATTATTCTCTTTGCTGTTAATTCTCTTTTGTGTTGTAATTATAGGATGGCGAGTCTTCAGAACAAGAATACAGAAACTCCAAAGAGTGAACCACCGCCTCATTTTTAAGAAAAGAAAGGGGGGATATGTGGAGAGCCATTCTCACACGTGACTGGGCAACTCCCGGTTTGGGTCTGAGGCGCTCTGACTAATCTGTGTCGGAGCTTTCCCACCCTCTCCTGATGAGAGAACCCATCCGTGTGGGGGTGTGACTGACCACTGACCCCCGGGGCCAATCACTGACCCTCAGCTTGGATTGCGGGCCCCCCTCAACCTTCATTGGATGGAATTCTCCCCTGAATTTCTTGTTCCCCAATAAAAGGCTACTCCCTGGCGTGCTCGCTCTCTCTCTCTCCTGCTAGCCCTGAGTAATCCTTGCTGCCCTACGGTTGGGTGGTTCAAGGTTGGAGCCAGAGAGGGGAGCCGTCTCGGACCTGGTCATAGAAAAAGGTAACTGAGTCTGTGTGTTTATTTCGATCTCGCTATCTAACTTTTATGCCAAGAACCTCATTAATGAAACCAATGCGCTGGCCGCATGGTGGAGTCACGAGATCAAACTTGTCCAATTTCAAAATCAGAGACTAATGTGCACTCAGAATCTTCATCCAGATTCTCCATTCACAGATGCTGGAGAAGTTAAAATTTGACTTGCTGGACACTTGTTCTGTAATTATTCTAATAGTGCATTGGCCCTTATGCTTCTGCTTTTTCTTCATGACCTTTACCATAACATTTTTTCCTTCCTCCTAATAGTGCCCATGTCTGCCATAGCTAAGAATTTTCGGGAACTTCAAAGAAACAAGGTCAGCCTTAACCGGTTCTGACTGCATCCTGTATTTATTTTTTGTTCAGGACTGATTTGATAAACCCGGGTTCAAAGTGGAACTCAAATGAAGGCTAGGCTGTCTCTAATCTGGAAATTTCAGTAGGATACCTGCAGTTGGTGTTCCAAGATTCATTCAGCATAGTTCTGGACTAGTTCTCTTGTTTATAAAGATGGTAAAGGAGAACCCCAGGATTTCTCTGAGATTTGGCCTTTATTTATTTTTCTTATCTTTATTATTTTTTAAATGTTTTAGCTGTAGATGGACACAATATTTTTATTATTTTTTTATTTTTATGTGGTGCTAAGGATCAAACCCCGTGCCTCACACATGCGGAGTAAGCTCTCTATCACTGAGCCACAATCCCAGCCGTTCTTATTATTTTTAAATTGCTCTATCATGATTAAGCATACAGTGGGACTCACTGCTGCATATTCACACATGCGCACAGCATCATTTGGTCTGTTTCATCCCCCACACCCCCACACCTTCCCTTTCCTCCCTTCCCCCCTCCCCTGTTCCCTCCCACTACTCGAGTGTTCTCTGTTTCATTTTCATGAGGTCCCTGCCCTTTCCTGTTTTCTCCCTAGCTTCCACATGAGTAAACACAGGACCCTTGACTTTCTGAGACTGGCTTATCTCCCTTAGCCTGTTGTTCTCAGTCTCAGCAACTTAATGAGGGAGGCCCTAAGCCACTGGATTTGGCCTCTATACCACTGCTGCCTCTTTTTCTGCTGTGACTACTGTATTTTTTTGTATTTCAAAGCAGAAGTAAAAGGACATCCTTGCCTTATTCCCAGTATTAAAGGGAAGACATTCAGCCTTTTTTCATTAGGTATGATGCTAATGGCACATTTTATGTGAGTTCTCTTTACCTCCATTCTTGTTTTTTGGATAGTTTTTGTCCGTTTGTTTGGGGGATTTTTGGTTTTGATTTTTGTTTTTTATTTTTGTTTTTTTGTACTGCAAATTGAACCCAGGGGCACTTAACCACTAAGCCCCATCCCCAGATCTTTATTATATTTTATTTAGAGACAGGGTCTCACTGAGTCGCTTAGGGCTTCACTAAGTTGCCAAGGCTGGCTTTGAACTTGTGATCCTCCTGCCTCAGCCTCCAGAGCCACTGGGATTACAGGTGTGCACCACTGAGCTCTGCTGGATAGTTTTTTTGTTTGTTTGTTTATTTGGTTTTTGTTTTTTTTTTTAACTTTGAATCCAGGTGTTGAACTTTGACAAATGCTTTTTCTTCACTAATTGATATGATTAAGTGGGTTTTCTTTTTCTTCTTTAGCCTACTATGTAGATTACATTGTCTCATTTTTTAATATTGAATTAAGCTTGTATCTCTGAATTAAGACTCATTATATCATGATATAAAATTGTGCGTATGTGTGTGCTGGGGATTGAAATCAGGGATGCTTTAACACTTTGTTACATCCCAGTTCTTTTTATTTTTTACTTTGAGACGGGGTCTCGCTAAGTTGCTTAGGGCCTTGCCAACTTGTTGAGGCTGCCCTTGATTTTGTGATCCTTCGGCCTCAGCCTCCCAAGTTGCTGGGCTTACAGGCCTGTGCTATCATGCCCAGCTTCTTTTTGTATGTTTATATTGTTGATTTTCATTTGAAAATAATGTGTTAAGGATTTTTGCATAATATTTATGAGTGATGTTGGTGTATAGTTTTGTCTTTTTGTGTTGTAAATGTCTGATTTTGTTATCAGGGTAATGTTGGCTTCATAAGATAAAGGAAGGGTGTCTCCCTCTCTTCTACTTTCTGGAAGTGATTATGACGGAAAGTATTGATTCTTCTTTTAAATTGGTTTCTTCTTCTCTCTCTTTTCTGTTCTACAAAATCCCCTATCCCAGCCTCTCAGAGGCAGAAAAGTCTCAGAGAGCATGGCATCACTTATTTGGATGCAAGGAGAATCAGATCATTAACACAGAAAAAAAAAAAACTGGTTTTTTTGTTTGTTTGTTTGTTTTTACTTCAAAAAGAAGTATTCTTAAAAGGTGAGTTTAGTCCCTCTGTGGCAGCAGGACTGAGGGAAAGTCAGTTTCTTCCCTGGGCCTCAGTTCCCCAACTGTGTGGTAAAGGCGGGGTTGGCCCTTCCCCTGGTGAGCACCCACACATGGCGGTGCTCCCTGGAGGGTGGTCCTGGGGTGGACAGGTGCCATGCAGGAAGGCAGGCCTCTCACTTGCCCTCTTCCTCCAAAATTTGCATCAGATGTTCTGACTCACTCACTGTTACAACTGGACAAATGAATCATTCACCTTTTCAGAGACTCATATCACCCCCAGGAAGTGTTCACACACCACCCTCCAGGGACTGGGAAGCTTTCTTGTTTATATTATTGTGCTGGTCCCTTGGTTTGGGGGCATTTCTCTTCTTCTTTTTAAAATAATTACCTCTTTCCCTCCAACTTGCGATGACCCTGACATCTTAACAAGAACTGGGGTGTCCGGGCAGGGCAGGCAGGGAGCTGTGGCCACTCGAGGGAGTTTTCTTGTAGGCCCATGAGGTGCAAATCAGGTCTTTCTGGTTATGGGGGCCTCGAGCTCACTTAGAGGCCTTGCTACTCGAGGTTTCTGGGGAGGGTTCACACTGGCCAAATCTGAAACTGTGTTGACCGGTTCCCGCCATCTGTACCCTGACTCTCTTGTGTTTCTGAACACCTGCTTCCCTCTCCTCCTGTTTCCTTCTGCTGACTGCTCTGGGGTTCGCTGGTCCACACGGGCTTCGGCCTTGGGCTGAATCACACCTCTGCTTTCCAGGTCTCCAGCTTGCAGACGGTAGGTAAGATCATGGGACTTCTCAGCCTCCATAATGGTACAAGCCAATTTTTCATGATGAATTTTCTCTCTCTCCCTCTTTCCGCATACACACACATATGCACACACACACACACACTCACAATTCATCATGTCACTCTCTAATATATACCAAAGTCTGTGTGTCCTCTCTACCTGCACCATTTCGCCTGTTTCTCTGGAGGACTTTGGCTAATACAGTCGTGTCTGGCAGCCAAGCTGTTCAAGGGAATGCAGGGCATGCTTTGACCCAGAGGACCCCACCTTCATTCCACCTGCTTTGATTTTTCCTGTGGATGTACCCACGGCTAGTCACTGTCCAACTCTTCCAGCCAGATATTTTTCGGGGTTCAGCTTCTGAATGACTTTGGAAAATGCACCTTGCTTTACACTGTTGCCCTTCTCCCACCTAATACCCTGTCCCCTCATGGTTGTGGATTATCTATTGTGGCCTTTGTGAAGTACCTCATCCATGTCCCTCATCAGCTTTGGGCTTGGTACTGGGACATTCGGACAATGACCAGTCAATGACCACATCTAGGTGGGAGTTTCAGATGAAATGGTGTGGCTGCACTCTGCTTCCTCCCCGTGTGCCCTTTGCCACGTTGTGTCCCAGGATGTGTCTCAGGCCATTCCTTTAACCTGCCTGGAGCCCAGAGGACAAACACAGGTGGTACACACCTGAACTTGACCTCTGCCCAAAGCCCAAACCTAGAGAGCCCAGAAGAATCGCAACTGACACATGCCCTCGTGCTATGTGAGTCAGAAATGAATCTCTTTGTTTGAAGTCCTGGAGATTTCAGGTTTGCCTGTTACCACAGCAAAAGCTGACTCAATAATCAGGGTGACAGTTGGGAGACATTGCGCTGACTTCACAGCAGCCCCTCCCCTGGTTGGGGATGGCAAGGCGAGAGAGGATTTTGGCTACTTAGGGGACAATATTTCTCTTCCTGTTTCTGGGCCAACTGATCGTACACTGTTAGTTCTCAGGCTGTGGCCATTTCTCGATGCCTGGCCAGTAAACAATTAACTCTGAGCAGAGCAGAAAGAACTGAAACTGAAACTCTCAGAGTTCACGCAAATGCATGTGCAGGTGGCTTCAGAATGGCTATGGTAAGTGGTTCTACAGTGAGTCGACTGCCCCCTGGAAAGACAATCCAGTTTGCTGGTCTCAGTGATGAGTACTAGCTTTGAATACACACATACATTCACACACACACACACTCACACGCATGCACACACACATATTTATTTATTATGTAATATGATAATTATATGTGTTTTATATAATAATTATATATAAAATATATAGATGTTATTTATATATTTTTCACACTAGGGATTGAACCCAGGGGCACTCTACCAGTGAGCTACATACCCAGCACTTTATATTTTTTACTATTTTGAGGTAGGGTCTTGCTAAGTTTCCAAGGCTGGCCTCAAACTCGAGATCCTCCTGCCTCAGCCTCCTGAGTCACTGGGATTACAGAGGTGCACCACCACATGCAGCTGTACTAGTTTTGATTTTGAAGTCTTGGATAACAATTCTGCTATTACATAAAAGTGAATTTTCCATGAGAGGCAATGAGTTCTTTTCCAGTGGACATCTCTGTTCTGTGTCCATGGGGCTTGATTATGGTCTTGGGCTGGGAGTGTGAGGGGAGACAGGTCCCTGCTCTAGAAGGCCCGTATCTGGCTTGGGGCCCTGGGCTCACACTCAGGCCACATTCAGCCTCGATTCTGGGCTCTAGCTGGTGAGCTAATCCTTACCTCACCTCCAGCTGCTGCTGGGATTAGGGTTTGGATCCTTCCAAGTCGCAGACATCATCCCCTCTGTCCCTCCTCTTCCCTTCACGGTCCTTTCCCCCCAGGTCAAGATGCTTCTTGCTTCACCCCTGTGCTCCGTGAGGTATGGAGTCCTAGCAACCTCGGTTTTCTGTGTCAGGGAAGTTCTAGGCAGGGCTTAATTCATCTCCGTGGGGTTCAGCTGAGTTCGTAGTTATTGGGAATGGACAGATCCTGGAAGGCCCCTGTCTTTATCCAGAGTAAGGGAGGTTCTGACCCAGTGGCCACACCCTGCCCTCTTTCCTCACCCAAGCAGAGGCCCACACTGGAATTCCAGCTCCACATCCTGTCCACAATGCCCCGGCCATGTCCTTGAACATTTTGAAGATGGAATGAAAAACCCCTCCTTCTTCCCAGATGGAGGCTCTCTGGCCTTGCTGTGGCCTGAGTGACGTGGCCACTTAGGCTGAGAAGCAGGAGGAGCTGGACAGGGGTCTGGCCCTGCTGATCCTCCACCTTCTCCTGTGCTTATTTCCTTTGCCCCATTCCAGGCCTGGCCTTTGGCTAGATCCTGGTGTTGACGGGAAGGAGGGGTGAGCACACAGGACCTGCTCCTGAGCTCAGAGGGCAGAGGGCACTCACACAGGTAGAGGGAACTGTGGCCCAGCCTGGTCCTTGCAGGGGGAGGGGAGGTTCCACGGCCTGGTGCCCAGAGAGCCAGGCTGGGCAGGTTGTGGGAGTGAGACCCAGACATGCTCAGCAGCAGAGGCCAGAGCGGGTGCTGTGATGAAGGGGAGGACAAGTCACTCAGTGGTCCTGGGGTTGGGCAGAGCCAAGGGAAGGTGAGGATGGTGAGGAAGTGCCCATCAGGAAGGCCTGCAGGCTGCCTGCAGTGGGCATCAGGTACCCTGACGTGAGAGGAAGTTCATGACCAGACGTGCCCACAGGCAGGCCCCTGTGGTTCTTGGGACTGGATGTGTAATGACAGGGACAGGAGATGGGGAGGCCAGTCAGAAGGCTGGGGTGAGAGGTCACAGAGGCTGGAATAGGAGATGGGCGTGGAAATGAATCAGAAGAAACTTCTGGAGTCTGCATTGGATGGACCTTGTGACTTTAAATTGGCTTGAAAAAGAGGGCAAAGTTGACCCCTCATCTCTGAATGGATGGAAGAGGGTTTGTCATCCACTGACGACAGGCTCCAAGTGGGAGAAAAGCTGAAATTTTCTCAAATTTTGAAGCTGCAGTGCCCAAGGTGGTGGGGGTGAGCGGAGAGAGGGAGGAGGAAGTGAGGAAGGCAGAGGGGAGTCAGGACACCGGGGAAGCAGACAGAGAAGGTAGAGAAGAGCACAGTCTTCCCCCTGATGATCTTGGGCAAGGCCCTCCTCCTCTCTGTTCCTCAGTTTCCTCATCTGTTCAATGGGATTCTTTGCCCTCCCTGGGTAGAGGGAACTGTGGCCCAACCTGGTGCTTGCAGGGAGAGGGGAGGTTGTGGGATCACAGTTATCCTAGGCTGAGAGGTCTTCTCCTTGCCTGGAGACAACCCCTCAGTGCTGGGAGTCAAATGGCCCCATAAGACCCCACTGTAAGGCTCCAAACCCATGAGGCTGTTGGTACTTTCATCTCACAGGTGGCATCTGTGAGGGCTAGGTGTCAGGTTGGAGGGAGGATGAGGTGCCTGATATTATCATGGAGGAGCACAGGACAGGAGGACGGATGAGGGCCTGAGAGTCCACCTGCAAAGGGCAGAGAGCTTGAGCCTCACCTTTGCAGTATTCCTCCCTCATCAGCAAAGGTGCTGCTACGTTTAACAGTACGTGGGCACTCTTAGGAGCACAGGTACAACACACCTGCACGTGCACATCTGCGTCCTCAGTGCACACACACTTGACACCCACCCAGACAAAACTCCCTCTCCCAATCCACAAGGGCATGTTCCAGGCTTCCACAGTGAAGGTCCCCCATGGAGGGGAGGGAGCCCTACAAAGTGGCAGTGGGGCTGTGGATACCAAGGGACACAGGGGCTCTTTCCTCCACACGTTCTCACCAGGTGACCAACAGGAGGAAGGAGGAGCCCCCTGGCTGAGCTTCTGCTCCCCAGTGGAAGGTTCCCCAGGTGCCTGGAAGCCTGTCTAACTTTCTCTGGCTTTTCTCTTTCAGCCCAAACCTGGAGATTTGATTGAGATTTTTCGGTTTGGCTATCAGCACTGGGTCGTCTATGTTGGAAATGGTTATGTGGTCCATCTGACTACCCCAAGTAAGTCCAGTTGAAAATGCAATTTCCAGAATACTTTGGAATAACACAATGAGAACCACTGAAAGGCAGATGAGCAAGGGAAATGAGAGTGGGGACACCCATTCCAGGGGAATGCTAGGCGAGGTTGTGCATGTGTATGTCCCGTGGGGTAGGAGCAGTGGATTCCCTCGGTCCTGCCAGAACAGGAAAGGAGCCGTTGGCTCCTTCAGTGAAATGGGTTTTCTAAGTATAGGATTATGTCATCTGCAAACAGTGATAATTTGACTTCTTCCTTTCCTATTTTTCTCCCTTTTATTTCCTTTTCTTGCCTAATTGCTATGGAAATTAGTACTTGTACCATGTTAAGTAGAGGTGGTAAGAGCAGACATCCTTGATTTGTTCCAGATTTTAAAGGAAACATTTTCAGTTTTACCCCATTTACTATGATGCTGGGCTGTGGTTTTCTATCTTATTCCTTTAAGATTCAGGGTAAGGCCCTTCAATTCCTACTCACCCCAGTGTTTTTATCATGAATGGGTACTGAATTTTGTCAAAGGTTCTCTATCTATAAAGATGGCTATGTGATTTTTGTCCTTAATTCTATTTGTGTCATGAATTAATTTGTTCATTTGCATATGTTCAAACATCCTTGCATCTCTGGATGACTCCAACTTGATTGTGGTATACAATCTTCTTCATGTGTTTTGGAATGTGGTTTGCTAATATTTTATCAAAGATTTTTGGATCTAAATCTTTTAGGGATATTGGCCTATAGTTTTCTTCCTTTGATGTGTCCTTATCTGGTTTGGGCATTGGGGTGATATTGGTTACATAGAATGACTTTGGAAGTGTTCCACCCCTTTCTATGTCATGAGATAATGTGAGAAGTATTGACATTTGTTCTTCTTTAATGGTGTGCTATTCAGCTGAGAATCCATCTGATCCTAGACTTTTCTATGATGAAAGACTTTTTATTACTACTTATAACTCATTGCTTGTTATTATTTTTTAATTTGTTATTTTGAGTTATATATAACAGTAGAATGTATTTTGACCTATCATACATACATGGAGTATAACTTTCCCATTATTGTGGTTATACAAGATGTCGAGTTACACTGGTCATGTATTCATGTATGAACATAGGAAAGTTATGTCCAATTCATTCTACTGTCTTTCCCATTCCCACCCTCTCCCTCTTTTCCACTCCACCCATCCAATCCTGTGACCCTCCACTCCTCCCCCCCTCCCTCCTCCTCTTGTGAGTCATCATCCACATATTAAAGAGATCATTTGACCTTTGATTTTGAGGGATTGGTTTATTTTACTTAGCACAATAATCTCCAGTCCCATTTATTTACTGGCCAAGTGTCATAATTTCATTCTTCTTTATGGCAAAGTAATATTCCATTGTATATGCATACCACATATTTTCTTTATCCATACATCTGTTGAAGGGCACCTAGGTTGGTTCCATAGCTTAGCTATTGTTTCATTGCTTGTTATTGGTCTGTTTAAGTTTTCTTCTTGATTCAATTTTGACAGGTCATACTTGTTTAAAAGAAACAAGAGGTAATTCTAATTACCTCACCTCTGATATGACCTCACATTTTTCTCTAGAAGCTTTTCAAATTGTATCCTTTCTCTGTATGTTAAGCATTTTAATTATAATGTGTCATGGAGAGTTCTTTTTTGATTCTGTCTATCTACAGTTCTGAATGATTCCTGCATCTACACGTCTATCTTATTCCTAAGGTTTAGAAACATTTCTGCTATTATTTATTTCACTGAAATGTGTCTTAATGCCATTAGCCTCTATCTCCAGGACCTCTTTAGTTTCAATGACTCATAAATTTGGTCTCTTAATGTTGGCCGAGTTCTCCTAATCAGGCTGTTGGTGGTTGTTTATTGTCTTGTCTCCAGTACTGCCTGAATGGCCCAGCTGAGAGCCTGTCTCCTGTGTGGTCTACTCTATTAGAAACTTTCACCTGGATGTTGTGTTTGATGCATTGTGTTTTTCATTTCCAAAGTTTCTGCTTGGCTTTTTTTCAGTATCTCTATTTCTTTTCTGTACTTCTCATTCATATCCTGCATTGACTTCCTTAACTCATTTAGTTGTTTTTCTGTGTCCTCTTGGGATTCATTGATCATTTTTATAACCATCCTTTTTAATTCTTGGTCTGGTATTTCATCTACTTCAATAACGTTAGAGTCAGTTGCTGGTGAATTGTGAACTTTAGGAGATGTCATGTTGGGGTGTTTTTTTTTTCAAATTTCATGTATTCTCATGTCTATCCTAATGTTGGTCTCTTAATGTTGGATTTTGTGCATCTGTGGAGACACACAGTCTTCTCTTGGCAAAGTATTCTGGAATATCAGGGTTGGGTTTTGTGGATTTTTCAACCTATTTCCAAGTGGGTTTTGTAGTATGGCTTCCCTACTATTCCTCTGGCGATGATTAGTATACTTTGACGTGTGCATTGTGTCAGAACCAGAGGGTCCCACTTTCCTGGTAGGTGTCACAAGAGTGGGGTCCTTCTTGTAGATCTAGCAATTGTGTTGTGTACAACAGGGTAGGTGGGTGCACCCTCTGGGACTTTTCCTATTCACTTAACAATTCTGTGTATCCTACAGGGACAAAGGAGTGGTGTAGACTGGGGCCCCTTGTAGGTGTGGTGTCCACAGTGTTTGTGCTATTCCTTTTTTGCTGAGGAGTGGACATCCATGAGTGGGAACAGAGAGCCCCCCCCAACCAGATATTCCTCCTTGGGGCCTGGCTTGGGGGTTTTTGTTCACCTCTTCCTTGTATTAAAGTATCACTGAAACTTGCACGTGGTTATTTTGTGTGCATCATCTCTTCACTGGGTTTTGGGTTTTGTACTGTCCCCATAGTGTCCCAGCGCCTCACAGAAAAGGCAGAAACAAACAACAGCAAACAGTGAACAATACAGAGCATTAAAATAACTGAATAAATACCTAGTGCTTACTATGCCAGCCACAACAGCAATTACCCAGAAACAGAAACAGCAGGGTGAGCCGTTGCCAACAGCAACAACAAGGAGCAGCCATGAACTAGATCTGACATTAAACAAAGAGCAGGCGTCCACCACCCCATCCACAGAACCAATAAGCACGACAGGAGTGGTGGGGGGAGGGATTAAATAAACCCAATAGTTCCCTGGGTGTGATGGTGCACGCCTGTAATCCCTGCAGCTCAAGAGCCTGAGGCAGGAGGATCGTGAGTTCAAAGCCAGGCTCAGCAACTGTGGGGCGTAAGCAACTCAGTGAGACTCTGTCTCTAAATAAAATACAAAATAGAACTGAGGATGTGGCTCGGTGGTCCAGTGCCCCTGAGTTCAATCCCCAGTTCACCCACCCACCCCCCCAAAAAACCCAATAGTTCTAAAGGATGGTAAATACAGGTCATTAAGAGAAAAGAAATAGGGCTGGGGATGTGGCTCAAGTGGTAGCGCTCTTGCCTGGCATGCGTGCGGCCCAGGTTCGATCCTCAGCACCACATACAAACAAAGATGTTGTGTCCGCCGAAAACTAAAAAATAAATATTAAAAATTCTCTCTCTCTCTCTTAAAAAAAATTTTAAAAAGAGAAAAGAAATATGAGAGGGAGGCAGAAGAAATCTAGAATATTCAAAATGTGAACAGGGACAGCAAAAGCGATGCAGCGAGTGATGGCGATAAAGAAGGAGGAGGAGAAGTGAAAGAAGAAAACAAAATAGAGAGGAAGAGAACAAAAAGAAAAGAATTAATTGGCTGTTAGAGGAAGATGAACGCAAAGAAAGGAAAACAATTTAAAAAAAAAAACAAAATAAACAAAACCCCCCAAACCTCAAAACACAAAGAAAACTTACAAACAAAAAAATGTTAAAAATGAGAAAAAAAGAAACAAGTATATTTGTGTGTGTTTATCCATGAACCAATCAGCATAACACACTCACACTCTCTCACACACACACACACACACACACACACACAGAAGAGAATGAAAAATGAAAGAATTGTCTCCACTGGAGTGGTCAAACTGTCAGCAAGGATGGTGTCCCCTGGCTACACACAATTGCCCTTCTTTGCATTTCTTGTTGCTGTACAGACCCCTTGGAGAGAGAGGAGGGGCTGGGAACTCCTCTTTTTGTGCTTCTCGCTGAGCTGCCTGCTGGAGCGGCCTCCACTACAGCTGCTGAAACAGCGCTCAGCTTCCCTTCTCACCAGTAGGGGGCAGGATGGAGGGGAAAGGACTGATGATTGGAGTTTTGTCCCGCAGACCAGGTCCACGCACTCGCAGGGTGGGGCTGCTGCAGAGCGCTACAGGGGAAGTTGCAGTGACTGGGGTTCAGCTCTAACCCAGCTTTGTGGCTTTGTTGGTGGTCTTTGCTGTGGAGAGATTAGATCAACACGCCACTAGAGCTGGGCAGATGCTGATGGTGGCTGGGGCTTCCAGAGAATTCTCCTAGTGGAGTGGGGAAGAAACCCTCCACAGGTCTGCACACCCCACCACCCATGAATGTGGGCTTCCCAGGCTCAGTCCCTGAGTGCAATCACTCACCTATTCTGTTTCCTGAGCCTCTTCCTCTGGTCACTCGGAGGGAAAGCAAGTTGCAGTCCTTTTCGTATCTCTGCGCGAATCCCCTGAGTACAACCTTCTCCGTGTCTGCCTTAGTCACATTCTGCTAGTACACCCTGGGCCACCCAGCAGGCTCCTGCCAGGTCAGCAGGGATATTTGCTAGCATCTCCCAGGATCCTTAGCAAGTTGCCATGCGGCTGCCTCGAGAGGGCTCTTTGCCTCTGTTGTCCATTTGCCACTTGAGAAACAGAGCACATTTCCAACACCAGGTCGGACTGCTTTTCCGTTCTACAGGTTCTTCTGTGCTGGATTTGTCCCCTGGGTCTCTCTCTCTCTCTCTGTTGTCCCTCTCCTCTGCAGTGACCCAGTTCTGCTGCCACTTCCACAACCAGCTTGGCTCCACTGTACTTGTTCTCGTCCTTTGTTCAATGAACCTAAATTT